CCTGGCTGTGTCTGTGGGGCTGGCTTACAGCTCTGGATAGTGAAAGTCACATGCCTGTTCCCAAAGCAGCAGGTCCTTTTGGTCACCTGCATGTGCGAGTCCATGGTTCTCCCACCACAATGTGCTCTGGTCCTGGGGCAAACTGCTGCTCAGGCTGGCACTGGCTGCAAACTGCATATCACCACCAGGACAGAACCTGGAGCCAAACCCCTCAGAAACATACAATAAATGCTGTACTGAGTTTGAAAGAGAAGGCTGGTCACTGCCACAGCATGCTCATGTGTGCAGCCACAGCACCTCAGGTGCTGTACCCCATGCAGACAACACTGCTGCAACACCCAGAGGCACAACTCTGGAGGAGCAGGAGCCAGAAGCAGCAGCTCCAAAGACCAGTATCTCTGCTCTAAGCGATGCACAAAAGCCTTAAGTTTCAGCCTCAGCTGAAAATCACCACCAAAACTCGTGAGAGTATTCCAGGGATGGGACGGGGGAAGGGGAAACAGTGCAGCACTAAGAAGCAGGAAGAACCCCTGGCTCAGGGTCCCCAGCAGCACTTTTGAAGAGGGACAGTTTTCCCTGCAGCAGGGTTTCTCCAGCATCTCCTAGCAGGAACACTGGGCAGGAAGGGACTGCCCAGTATACCTTAACCCCTTGGTCCCAGGAAGCCCAGAAGCAGCTGCAGACAACCACTCTGGCACCACAGGCTTTCGAGTAACATCACTTGGGGTCTGAGTTTTGCACTTTCCACAGCCTTCCAGGCTTCCCTTACAGTGAACCCTTCAAAACCAAGGTGACAACAGGGCACTCAAGGAAATCACATCCCCTCCAGCGTGGGTAGGCTATCCCCACACCTGACAAGCTCAGAGATGAGCTCATCTGTTTTCCTAGAGCCACCCCACTAAACTTAAATACTGCTGTCAGGATTCAGCTTTAAACTTAGTTCTTTTTCCAAAAGTCAGACAATTCCATTTCCTTATGTCTCAGAAAATTGTGTCTCTCCCCAGGTGCAGAGGCACAGTTAAATCCCCAGTCTGGGGAGGCTGCTAAGGTTGACCACTTGCACACCCCTCCACAGCCTCCTCCTCCCAGCCCAGTCCTGGGGAGGGCACAGGAAGAAGCTGTGAGTTAGGGGTGAGAAGCAGAAATAAAAGGTATATGAGAACTGAGAATATGCTGATAACACAGGAGAGGCACATGGGCAACTGGAGGTGCTGTAAGGCAGGGGGAGAAAGCCAGAGCTGAGGAACCACCAACTCCCTCTCCCTGGATACCACCAGGCAGGATTTTGGGGTCCTTCCTTTAGTTTCTGCAGCCCTCCTCACACTTTCCACCTGAACCTAAAGGTTTCTGCCCACAGCCTGCTTTTCTGTGTGTACATGCAGGCAAAGTCATCAGGAAACCTCCACAGGAAACGAGATCACTGATGAAGGAAAAACCCGTCACGAACTGCTTCATCCAAATGCCACTAAATATTTACAAACTCTGAAAAATGCAATTATAAACACAGACTTAAGAATCTCAGATGGCCCACACAGCTTGAAGCAGCAGTGCAAGCCATGTCCAAGCAGAGTGCACTAGTTTTGTGTGTCCCTTGGAGAGCCAAACCTCAGCCTGCCTGAACAGAAAGCAAAACTGAAATCAGTTTGATTCATTTTTTGGAGTTTGACATTCCAGCTGCAGAACATTCTCTCCCTGATAAGATTAGCAAACCAGAAGTGACAGTATCTCTTGATTTGCAAGGGGAGAAGAGCCTCTCTCAGTACAACACAAGATGTTTAAATTAGCAAACAATGAATTCGCTCTGAGGGACTTTCCATGTCCTGTCGGAAATAGCACAGTGAGGGACTTTCCAGAGTGGGAGCTGAGCTGCTGCGGGACCTTACCCACAGTGCTGGCTACCCTCCTGCACCAGGCAAGCCCTGGGTGGCCGTGAGGGCTAGGGTTAACCTAAGCCCAAGGTACAGCCAGGCTTTGGGCTAACACAGCCCTCTGCCAACTCCTTTCCCAGCCCTCATGGCTCTGACAGCATGGGCACGGCCAGCCCTGGTAAAATGCCACAGCCCTCTAGCAGGAAGCTTGCCTCCTCCCACCAGTTCCCAGGAAAGAACCAGCTTTTCCCAAGTGGGCACAAAATAACCTCCTCCCTCAGGCCAAATGCCACTAGGGCAAGCAGGAGAGACCATTCAGCCCCAAGAGGAACCAGCTAGAAACATCAAGGTTGGAGGAGACCTCTAAGATAATCAAGTCCAACCATTAACCTGTCACTGCTGTAACCTCTAAACAATATCCTCTAGTGCCAGATCCAGACACCTCTTAGACATGCCCAGGGATGGTGACTCCACCACCTCCTTGGGCAATATGCCAGTGCCTGAACACCCTAACAGTGACAAAATTTTTCCTAATATCTAATCTAGCACTGCTACAACCCCCTGAGCCCTCGTACCACACAGGTCTGCCCTGGGACTCACAAACACCTGCAGGCTCACAGTCCCCTGGCAGGAGAGGTGTGTGCCAGGACATAGCCCAGGGCTGCACCTCCATCAGACATCCTCTGTTCGAGCAAACACCAAACTGGGGTTGGGAACATCAAGTGGAGAGTAAAAATGAGGAACAGCCTCATCCATTCAGGAACCCTCCAGCAGCTGTGTGCAAGGTCTGTAATGATGCTACTCACAGTATGTTCCAGTGCCCAAAACCCAACACACAGCTAAACACATCAGCGTAAGCCACACCACAAACTGTCTCCACCTAAGACTAAAGATGTGGGAGGAAAGCTGAATTTTGTACTCAATGCAGGACAAAGAGACACTAAAACCCCTGTGCAAGTTACCTGCAGCACAACCTGGTTAGGGGATCAAGGCTTCTGCCCCAAATAAGGTAAAAACTGTCCCAGAGCTGATGAGGCATATACTAAGTTGTCTCAGTCCACCCGTGGGCACTGAGTGAGGTGAGCACTGTCCAACAGAACCTGTTCTCACACCTGTCAGCACTTCGGCAGCTGTGTGTAAGGTCCTGGGGCAGCACATCACCTGCAGCCCTGCAAGAAGTCAGCCTGATGACAGGACAGCTCTCTACCCTTCTGAACTCCCAGAGAGAGCTGGCTCCTCCAGCATCTCCTAGCAGGAACTGCCCTGTTACCTTGCCCCCTTGGTCCCAGGAAGCCCAGAAGCAGCTGCAGACAACCACTCTGGCACCACAGGCTTTCGAGTAACATCACTTGGGGTCTGAGTTTTGCACTTTCCACAGCCTTCCAGGCTTCCCTTACAGTGAACCCTTCAAAACCAAGGTGACAACAGGGCACTCAAAGAAATCACATCCCTTCCAGTGTGGATTAGGCTGAGCTCATCTTTTTTCCTAGAACCAACCCATAAAACTTAGTTTAAATACTGCAGTCAGGATTAAGCACATCACCTGCAGCCCTGCAAGAAGTCAGCCTGATGCCAGGACAACTCCCTGCCCTTCTGAACTCCCAGTAGGAGCTCTAGCTGGACTTAAGCACTCAGACACTGACACAGGTGTCAGACCACACAGGAGGACCTTTGGCAGTTGATGATTTTTGCTGAGCGCTGCAGGAACTTTTACTGGGGAGAAAAAGTTCAGCAGAGCTCATCAGCCCCAGCACAATCAGCACTGGAAGCTGCTGACAGAGATAATTTGGTCAAGCCAAATGGGGATGAGCTCACACCCTGCAGTCACTGCAGTGGGCATTGGGCACCAGCAGAAATTCAAGTGTGAGGCTAACCATCTGCAGGCACCACCAGCACAGCCTGGACCTGGAACCCTGGTACCACGGAACACCCTGTTCCCTGAATGGCAACCCCACAAACTCTCCGTGCCGCAGCAGTGCTAAGCTTTTCAGCTGACATTCCTTCAGTCCCACACCCACACCAGGAGCCTCTCCCAGGCCTGTGAATGGGGTTCACAGCAGCAGAGCCCTTTAGCACAGACATCCTCATCTCTTGAGCTGAGCTTTGAGCACAGAGCAGGAGGCTCAGACAGCAGGACAGGGAAGCAGAGCTGCAGAAGGATCTCTCTCTGCTGTCAGGCTCAGCAGCCTGGGCAGAAAACTCAGGCCTGATGTGATGCACATCTGCTGCTTCTTCCTTCCACCTTGTCATGGCCTTGCAGAGGGAATTCCAACGTTAGCCTGGACAGACCAAGGTTAAACCTTTCCCTGACACACACCTCAGTCACTGCCAAAGCTTCATGAACCACAGACCAAAGATCTGTACCTGGGGCAAGTGTTAGAGGGAAATGAAATGCATTCCTGTATTTCGGGCCCCACACACGGTGGCTCTGCTGTTCCAGGAGGGATGACAACTGTCCTTCAAGGAGCACCAAAGCTTAACAGGCGAATATACATTCCTGTGCTATGGACCAACTGCCCACAGACACAACTAAAACCTTGATTACACAGCTGGTGGGCTCCTCAGAAGAGCAGGGGTGGAAAAACCACTCAGTCCAGTCTGCTCATGGCCCAGAACAGCTTGGGGTGGTGGGTGACAAGCAGTGCCACCACCCAGTCCCTCTGCCCTGGACAGCTGGAACAGGGTGGTGGCTAGGCCACTTTCCCTGAGCTGATGGGTTTGACGGAGGCAAAAGGTTAACACAAGGCAGAGAAATTCACAATGATTTCATGACACAGCACAGCTTCCTGACAGTTTTCTAGTTTTTTATAGCAGAAAGAAGCTAGAGGCAGAGCAGGTGGTTCCCACCACAGAGGAGATGTGCTCATGCTCCCTGTAATCCCTGTGACCACAAGCAAACTTGAAATTGTCTCAGTCCAGCCTGCACCCTCACTCAGGGCACATATACTCTCAGGCAGGTCACTCAAAGCCTCAGTCAGGACACACAGATCCCCAGTGAGGGCACACAAACCCTCAGGCAGGGAATCAGCTGACAGCTCCCACCACTGTCCTTAGGCACAGACAAGCTCTGAGCCTTCCCCACCCCCAGTGGCAGCAGGATGCAGACAGGACAGGCCTTGCCCTTGCCTTTACCTCATACTCCTTGATTGTGCCCCTCCAGGAGCAGCCGCTGTTGATGCAGACAGCAGGCAGACTCTCCACCTCCCGCCGTGCAGCGTTGTCAGGGAAGGCCTGCCAGGGGAAACGCACGCAAAGCACAGGCATCACTGAGGGGCTGCACCTCTATCAGGGCTCCAAATTCTTTCTGAAGTCTCCGCCCAGCCCAGCTGCCCCATCAGAGACCTGGAGGAGTGCTACTGGCAGCCAAAGTGCAGTGACAGCAGTAAGTAGGTTACAGCATGGGGCTGGGCTTCAGCACTGAGAGTCCAGCACAACTATCACCACACTGGGGAAAAGGGCTCCCAGGGGCTCTCAGAGCTGATGCTTTAAACACAAAGTGCAAGTGGTGTTACTGACACCAGTGAGCTGCTTTGGGGTTTTGTTTAAATGCATTTTTTCTTACCGAGCTTGTTTCCAGAATAGAGATTCCTTCTTCATATATTCCCTCCTGGATGCAGCTGGCACACTTCTGGGGTCCAGCACTGCCAGGCAGAACAATGATCACCAGACAGAAAAATATTCATCAGACAGAAACATGATCATCAGACACAACAAAAGGAAACTGATTTATGATTTAACATTAAAGTCATTTCTGGCAACTTCACAAACTGAAAGCATTTCCTTATTACAACACTACATCGAGCTTTTGCTTGTGTGTATTTTGATGCATATTTCTCATTTTCTTTCATTCTCCCAATGAATTATTCCATTCAGTATCCCTCACCCAGAACCAGGAGGGAGCCAGAACACAAGGAAACTTCTCTGGGAGACAACTTGTGCTTGAATGTCTCCCATTTTGACACAACAACCAGTTGAGTTCCAGGAGCATTCAACAGCTGTGATGAGGGCTGAGGGAGATGAGTGACCCACCTGGAATGCCTCCCTATGGCAAAAACAATCCAGAAGGTTCTGGCAAAGGGAATTTTGAAGCAACAATAAAGTCCAGTGAGAGATTACACATCTGCTTAGAAAAGTGGTGATGCTGAACCTCAACAATAAACACAGCTCCCTCGCTGGGAAGGCTCTGAAAATGAGATTTTCCTCTCCTTTTTTTTTGCTTAAAAAAAAGGCATTTCAAGCAGTTTGTCCTCACAGTGAAGGCACAGCAGTTACCTGATTATTTTCTTGAGGCAGTAGGAGCAGTAGCGATGGCCACATTGTGCCTGGAAGGGTCTCCTGAGGATGTTCTTGCAGTCAGAGCAGAGATACTTCACCTCCAGCTTGGTTCCCAGGATCTCCCTGGCAAACCCAGGCTGCTCCAGGTCCAAGGAACCAGGAGGAGAGGAGTTTGCTGCTGCCATGTGAACAAAGACTTCTGCCACCTTCAGAGACTGGAAATAAACACATTGTTGTGTTTGATTACAACTGCAGAGTGGTGACTTTTCATATGAACTGTTACTCACTGCCCCAAGCCCCAACACAGAGCTAAACCACCAGTATAAGCCACACCACAAACTGTCTCCACCTAAGACTAAAGATGTGGGAGGAAAGCTGAATTTTGTACTCAATGCAGGACAGAGATACTAAAACCCCTGTGCAAGTTACCTGC